TGGGTGGGTGTGTGTGTGTGTGTGTGTGTGTGTGTGTGTGTGTGTGTGTGTGTGTGTGTGTGTGTGTGTGTTTGTGTAGGTATGGGTGCTTAGTAGCTGAACTTTTGCTAAGGGATAAAATGTTACCGTGAATCAAGAACTGAAAGGCTGTTAATTGTCCCACAGCCCTGAGAACCTAGAGCCCCTTGTGGAATGCTTCCTGTCCCACTCCCAACTTTCTATGCCGTTGTGGCTCAGCAGACGCCTGGGGGATACCTTAGACCCTGTCACCAGGTTGTACTGTGGTGGGACGTTGCAGGGCTGCTGGGCCACATTGTCCTCAGATGGTGAACTTGGGAACACCAGAGGCCTTGGGCTCCAGCATGCAAAGCCCTGGGAGCCTTATGGGAGTAGGGCCGTGAGGTAACCCTTTCCTCCCCGCAGCTCTGTGTGCACGACAACTACAGGAACAACCCCTTCCACAACTTCCGCCACTGCTTCTGTGTGACGCAGATGATGTACAGCATGGTCTGGCTCTGTGGCCTCCAGGTGGGTCCTGCCAGCCCCACCCTCCATCCCTAACCCTGCTGAGTGCCTGAGCCCTCCGCTCCCACAGCCCAGGGGGCATATAACCTCTGCAGGGACTGTGTCCTCTCCTGTCACTGCAGCCCAGTCTGTCCCCACCCCTCCTGCCCTCCCATGAGGAGGACAGATGCCTGACTCTCACCTAATCCAGGAGAAGTTTTCCCAGATGGACATCTTGGTCCTGATGACCTCAGCCATCTGCCATGACCTGGACCACCCAGGGTACAACAACACGTACGTTTGGGATTTCTTTCTCGTTTCTACTTTGAAAAGTGCCCCTTCTCTCAGGGGTAACATAGCTTACCCTTCCACAGCTCTCAGAAGGAGTTGCCAGCCTAGATCCCTAACCCTACAGGATGCTGTTCCCAACTTTTGGACTTTGTACAGAGTCCCAGGCCTCCCCTGGAAGGGTACCTCCAAGGCTACCAAGAAGCACAGGGAGCCCCAGTTTCTGAAGGTGCATGGCAGCACTAGCCTGCTCCCTCCCAGAGAGGGGGGAAAGTGGGACCCCACACCATTCTCTGCCAGGATGCTCCCTCTCCAGGCTACTGCCAAAGGCATAGGCAGAGAACCAGGGCTAGAATGAGTGGGGGCAGGCCTGGGGGAGTGCAGGTGATGGGGCCAATAGGATGGCCCAGGTCTAGGGACACTAAGCACCTTCTGTCTCCATTAGGTAGAATGCTACCCCTCGTGATGTAGGCTTGCATTCAGGGACACAGGTTTTTTCCTAATGTACCTTTGTGGCTGTGCAGTGACATCAGATGTCCTTGGGGCCACGCTACCACCACCGTTTGTCAGGACAGAATGGGTCCCAGGTCTAGCTCATCAGAGGCAGTCAGGACAGAATAGATAACAGGTATGGCCATGAGCACTCCTCAGAGGTGGTCCCAATAACTCATCTATTACCTTTCTGCACGTTTATTGCTCACCACAGCTGCCAACAACAGATCAGCAAAAAGTTCGCTTTAGCATTAACCTCAAAATTCAACCCTCAGAATGGCACAATGAGGCTCTTCCTGTAACCCCAGTTCTTGGAGGCTGAGTGAGGCAAAAAAGATCCCAGGACCCAGACCACCCTGGGCTACAGAATGAGATCCTGTTATACATTCATATTCATATTCACATATACATGGGGAGATGAAAAAACAAACCTGTTTCCTCTTTCCTGAAATCCTGTCTTCACATATACTGAAAATCCAGCAGTTTTTGGAGCCTCAGTGCCTTCAAGGCATCACCCCAGGGAGAGAGCTGAGGTCATGGGTTGGATTTAAAGGTGTGGGATATCTAATTACAGGAGCATGAGAGTCAGGGGTTCAACTGAAGCGAGTTTCTAGTGTGATCAGTTGGTATCTGGTTACTAGCCCTTGGGCGCTTCCAGCTTCTGCAGGAACCATGTATACCATGGTATGCAAATGCCGGTGGCAGGGTGTCTGAGCTTCCTGCTCTCTCCACACATCTTAGATACCAGATCAACGCCCGCACGGAACTGGCTGTGCGCTACAATGACATCTCACCGCTGGAGAACCACCACTGCGCCATTGCCTTCCAGATCCTGGCGAGGCCTGAATGCAACATCTTCTCCAGTGTGCCACCTGAGGGCTTCAGGCAGATCAGGCAGGTGTGTGGGGCCAGGGTTTTGTGGGGTCAGAGCAGAGCCCCACTCTTTGGAGGCTCTTGGTTACAGCAGTACCCATCAGGGACCCTGAAACCGGCCCACCTTACCTGCTTCCTCCAGGGCCCAGAGTGGTCTCTAAGGAGAGGGGCCTTTGCTGTATACACCTGATGTCACCTGCATGTCATTGCCATTAATACAACCCTAATGACTCCCTTTGAGATGGCTCCCGTGTCCCTGCAATCAGGGAAGAAACTTAGGAAAGAAAGAGAAGTAAGTGGGCCTGGACAGGCACCTACCGCGTCTGCAGCCTAGTAGAGCTGATATCCACCTTGGAACTTCAGCTACTATCACCTGTCACATAGGGCCTTGTCACTCATTTCCATCATGACCTGTACCAGCTGATTATCCTGCCTAGTCACCCCTGCCCTGAGACAATCACTTTTAGTCACTTAAAACATTGCCCTCCTGGGCTCGAGAGATAGCTCAGTGGTTAAGAGCACAGGCAGCTCTTCCAGAGGTTTTGAGTTCAATTCCCAGCAACCACATGGTGGCTTATAAACCATTTGTAATAAGACCTGGTGCCCTCTTCTGGCCTGCAGGCCTAGATTCAACACCCAGCACTGAGAAAATAATAAACAGGATTAATAAATTAAAAAAAAAATTGCCCTCCCCACACAAAAGGTCCTGTCTGAATCATAACTGAATGAGCCATTAGTGCTATTTACAGGGGATGGAAAGTCCCAGGGTGACTCCTGACTCCTGTAGTGGCTCAAGGTAGCTGACCTTCAACCTTATTTGGGAAGGGGGGCAGGCGTCTTGGCATACCTACTTGAGTAAGACCTCCAGGTGCTCTATGGATTGGGTCCTACACCTATAACAGGTGTCCTTCCGAGGGACAGAGGAGAAAGAGACATGAAGACAGTAAAAGACTGTGGGACAACAGAGGCATATAGATATTGGTGTAGACAAAGCCAAGGGAGCAGGAAGGAGCCTTCTCTCAAGCCTCGGGAGGGACAAGAACATCTTGGCCTTCCAGAGCCCGGAACTATGAGGGATTATATATCCCCAAAGCCAGCAACACCCAGCCAGGCCACCCAGGCTACATGCACATAAGGAACATCCCCGGGCTCTCTGAGGGTCACATGCTGCCATCTCTTGGGGATCATGCCCTTTAGGTCTCAGCCGGCATCCTTCCCCACAGAACTAAATTGATGCCTCCTTCCTGGAGAACCTACAAGCTTGGCTTTTTCAAAGAGCAGCCACCGGATAAACCATTATTTCCTTATTTGTCTGTTCCCGGAGAAGTTCAAAGCTAACTGCAGGGCTTGGCGACAGTCAATATCAAATCACCGATTTGTGGTGAAGCTCTCTCTTCTATCTGTACGCTTCTGCCTTTCTTTCATGTTCACAGCTCCACCCTCTACGTGTGTGCCATAGACTGTTACAACAAACTACAACCATCTTTTTCTGTAGTGGGTAAAAGGCATGCCAGTACCACCCAGTGAACTACCCAGAGGGCCTGATGCAGTATCCCTTAGTGTGTGGCTTTCTCCAGCAAGGTACACCAAGCAGCACCCCAGAAGAGAAAGATAGTCATCTAATTGGATGAGTAGACAATAAGTCCCCACAAACAGGATCTTCTTCACGCTGGCCACCATGGGGGTAACAAGGACTTGTCCTATTCCAGAAGTTTATGAGTTTTAAAATAAGACTTTTTCTGGAAACAAAAATCACTTACCCAATTGTTAAAGTATTTTATTTTAAATAATGAGATGGCTCAGTAGGTAAAGCACTTGCCACACAAGCCAGACAACTTGAGTTCAGATTCCCCAGAACCGTAATCAAAGCTAGACACAGTAGAACTTGTGTCTATAATTGCAGTGCACACCAACAGAGAAATGAGAGGTGGAGACAGAATTCACTGGTCTTGTGTACACTTCAGTGAACACCAGGAGACCCTGCCTCAAACGGGGCAGAAAGCAAGGACCAACAACCAAGGTTGTCCCCCGCACTCCACGTGTGCTAATTATGGCATGTGTGTCCCCACACTCACACATACAAAACAATTTTGTCATTGAAGATGTCAAGGAATAACTGAATGTTCTGTTAATAACAGTCTTTACAGGAAAAAAAAGTTCATAATTCAAAATGCAAGGTGATGTCATACACACACAAATATACATTGAAATTCTTCGTATTGACTGTTTGACTTTGCCATTTGAGGCTGGAGGTCTTATTTTCTTGGAAATGTGAAGCTCTACCCCTGGTACAGAGATGCTATATAAATGTTTTGTGGGATGGATGGATGGATGGATGGATGGATGGATGGATGGATGGATAGATAGATGATGGATGAATGGGTGGATGGGTAGGCAGTTGGATGGCAGGCAGTTGGAGAGATGGTGGGTGGGTGGATGAATGAAAAGATGGATGGATGGATGGATGGATGGATGGATGGATGGATGGATGGATTGCAGATGGGTGAGTGGGGGAGTGGATAGCAGATGGTTGATGAAGGATGGAAGGAAGGATGGGTGGGTGGATGACAAACGGTTGGATGGTAAATGGATGATGGATGGAAGGATGGGTAGACATCTAGACAAGTAGAATACAACAGATGCATGAAAAGCTAGATGGACAGAGGGGAAAAGAAAGAATGGGCACGTGATTATAGTTTTGGGTTGCGCTACTTTTCCTAAACCAGTATTTAGTTAACTGCCTTAGTATTATTCAGCTGCTGTAATAAAATACCACAGACTGGGTGATTTTAAAAGGGAAGAGGTTTGCGTTCACTCACAGTTCTGGAGGTTGGGAAGCCTAAGAGTTTGGCGTCCACATCTGCTCTGTTTCTGGTGAGGGATATGGGCAGAAAGTTAAAGGGCAGGAGTGAGAATTCACTCCCTGTGGATTTAACCCAGTGCCAGGTGGGTTGAGGGAGAATATGAATTGCTGCATGAGGATTGAACCCAAACACTCCTTAAGGATCCCACTTCTGCTTAACACAGTTACTCTAGGGACCAGACTTGAACCTGAGTTCAGGAGGGCATCAGCCATGTTTAAACCATAGCATAGCTATAGTTTACAAGCCCATTGGATCCTCATTTTTTTGGGGGGGGGGGTTTGAGACAGGGTTTCTCTGTGCAGCTTTGGAGCCTATCCTGGCACTCGCTCTGGAGACCAGGCTGGCCTCGAACTCACAGAGATCCGCCTGCTTCTGCCTCCCGAGTGCTGGGATTAAAGGCGTGCTCCACCAAAGCCCGGTGGATCCTCATTTATAAGCTCGATAGTGGGGATGTTACCAAGTATGTTCTGGTGACTAAATGTGGGCCTGAGCCTTAGCTAAGATCTGCTTGGTTTTCCAAGTCAGCATAGCAACCCATCTGTTACCCTGTCAGCCTGTGATCGCAGCCTGTGGACATGGCACAGGGACAGACAGAGCACACGTGTGGGCAATGGTCACACAGGAGCTCAGAGCACAGCCTCAGGAGCACTTGCTGAGGTGAGGAGCACTCACTGAGGTGAGAAGCACTTGCTAAGGTTCTGGTATGTGGTGACACCATGTCCTCTTACCATCCAGGGGATGATCACGTTGATATTGGCCACCGACATGGCAAGGCATGCTGAAATCATGGATTCATTCAAAGAAAAAATGGAGAATTTTGACTACAGCAATGAGGAGCACCTGACCCTGGTAGGTTGTGTCTTTTGTGTCTTTGGAAAGCTCAGTTGGGAAAGCCAGGAGCCCAGGTGTCTCTTACCTGGCCATGGAGTGCTGGAGTGCCTGATTTCAGCATCACAATTCCTCCTGGGCCAGCAGAAGACAAGGCTGCCTCCTGAAGTGTACTACATGGGTCAAGGACAACCTTCTCCTTTAAGGAGGTGGCCTAAGAGTGCATGGTGTCTGTCCCTTCTTAAAAGCAAAATACAAACTCAGCATGCTGGTTCATCCCTGTCATCCCAGCACTAGAGAGGCTGAGGCAGGAAGATTGCAGAGACTTCAGACTCACCTGGACTACATATAATGAATTCCAAGCCAGCCTAGGCTATAGTGTAAGACCCTAATCTCAAAAATTAACTTTGACAGGGTGGTGGTGGTGCACACCTTTAATCCCAACACTCTCGAAGCAGAGGCAGACAGATCTCTGTGAGTTCGAGACCAGCCTGGTCTACAAAGTGAGTTCCAGGACCGCCAGAGCTGTTACACGGAGAAACCCTGTATCAAAAAACAAAAACAAATCAATTAACTACAAAATGAGCAAAATACATTAACAAAATAATTAACCATCTGCATCCCAGCATTCAGACATTAATTGCTCTGTGCCTTACTTTGGAAACATGCACCATAGTCTCTTTTAAAGCTGTTTGTCTCTTTAAAACTAAAACCTTGGGGCTGGAGAAATGGCAGTTAAGAGGTCTTGCTGCTGCTGCAGGGGACCTGGGTTCAGTTCCCAACACCCACATGGCAGTTTACAACCACCTGTAATCCAGATCCAGGGAATTCACTGCCTTCTTCTGGCCTCTGCAGGTATTGCATACATATAGTACGTATACATGCCTGAAGGCAAACCACTCATAAAATAAAAATAAATAAGTCTTTAAAACCAATTGACAGACAGTAAACGAGGATGCCTTTCTTAGGTCAGGCTGAACCTGTGGCTTCCCATCCCATGACGCTGAGCCATCAGGATCCATTACTGCAAAAGGCTGAATGGCAGCGAGCACACAGAGGAGCAGAGAAGGAAGGGCCCTTGTGGCTAACACCTGAATGATGGGAGGATGTGTCTTCCCCAGGTCAGGGCCTCTAAGAGCACCCCCTTTCTAGGGAAAGAAGAGAGGCACAGTTGTCTCCCAGTCCTTAGGGGAGGCCAAACCTTGTGTATCCTGCTTTTTCCTAATCACACATCTCTGCAATAAACTTACAAACCAGGCACAGAAGAGCCCAGCACCAAAATAAGGCAGGATAACAAGAAGACACCACAGTAAATAATGGGCAGACAGCATGCCCAAAATGGACCTAAGTCCCAAAGAAGACTCCCTTCCTGGGTGGGATGAAGATGGCATGAGATCTTTCTGTGTTGCTCAGAACAGCATGGAGGTTAGAACTGGTGGGCTATTTATTTCTGGGACTTTCTACTTAAAATTATTTGGGTAACTAAAAGCATAAGAAGCAAAAGCAGGGACAAAGGGGGCCACTGTTCCACCACATGGGATCCATGACAAGATGGGCTAAGGTGTGGGGAAAGATATAAAGAACGAAGCCGATGACAACCAGAAGTGACTAAGGAAAGCCAGCAGTCTATACCTTGCATGCCTTACTTCTGTCTGTGATATGAAGAAAACCAGCTTCTAGGTTGCATGACAGGCCGGAGGTCAAGGGGTCTGCCCAGTGTGAAGGTGGTTTGATAGGACCATAAGCCAGACCAAAGGCACACCTGCCTGCCTTGGTCTCCACCCACTGATCAGGATGTACCCGGGTAACTGTCTGCCATCCAGGGCTCCGCTTCTCCCCTGGGCCAGGATCAGACTGACCGCACTTGCATCAATGCAGGGCCCCCAAAGGCTGAGGGAAAGGACTGATAAAGCATTGGGAGAAAGAGTTCATAGTCCAAGCCTGGAAGGGGGGGAGGAGGTTCTGGGCCGAGGAAGTGGAAATACCCAGAATGATGAAGCCTGAAGATGTGTCAACATGCCTGACCCAGCCACGACCGGGGCCACCGTGTCTAGTCTGGGGCAGTTCCCCCACGAGGCCAACCAGACTAAGATTGTAACTGCTCTGGGCTGGAGCCAGTTCCAACACACAGCAGCAAAGAAGGTCTCCTGCCCAGAAAGCAGAAATGGGGCCTTGCAGCAAATATCCACAAGTCTTTCAAGGCCCAGCCAGAGGGGAAGGGTTGATCCACCCTGCTATGCAGACCTGAAGCCTGTGCATAGCCAGACCACGTTCCCTCTCCTACATGGAAAAGGCAACAAAGCAGGCAGATCATGGCTTAAGGTTGTGTGCCTCCAACTGACATTTCTGCCTGGTCACCCTCAGACCTGGACAGTTGCCTCCACTTTTATCCAGAAAGGTCACAGTATTGATTGATATTTGTACCTGGCACAAGACCAGAGCACCAGACACCAGCCCCCACAGCAGACAGAAATGATAGACTAGCTGGCTCAGGAGAAACACTTGGGCAGAATCCTTTCACTGTCCTAACCCAGTCCTGCTGGACTCCAGGGGAGTGGCTAGCTTCCTGCCTGGAAGGAAGTACACCCTCCTGGGAGACCACACCCAAGAGGATGCAATGGGCATAAGACAGTGCTACAAGAGACATGTGCTCTGGGGTGGCATGAAGACTGTGGGAGTGGACCTATATTTTATTTGTCAAGGTGATGAACTTCATGTATGACAGGCAAATACTGTACCCCTCAGCCATGTCCCCAGCCCTGATTTTACTTGGCGGTTCGAGACAAGCGTCTCATTAAGCTGTCCAGCAAGGCCACAAACTCAGGGTAGCCTAGGCAGACCTTGAATTTGCATCTTCTTATCTTGGCCTTTCGAAGACATTGTTTTGAGAACCAGGCATGGTGACTCATGCCTGTAACCCTAGCTGCTGGGAGGCAGGAGGAGTAGGAGGAGTTCAAGGCCAGCCTTGAGTCCTAAAGGCCGGCCCGAGCTGCAGAGTGAGACAGTTTCAGCATGGGAGACCCTACGCATGTGCTCAGATTGTAACTCAACAGTTTACAGTTGGTATTCTAAAAGCCTGTGTATCTGATGCTCTGTGGATGCGATGGGTCCCCATCCTTCCCCGGGGAAGCTGAGAGATCCAGACTACAAGGATCCCAGTGCAGAGCACTGCAGCAGAGTACCCTTCCAGGTAGAAAAGCTCCATTGTCATCGATGGCCAGCGTTCCTCCCCACCACACCCTGTGCTACGATGGTGAATCCAGTTAACCCACAGTAGCAGTGGTTGGGCTGTGTCTGCCATCGCCCTAAATGCCGTGTCTCTTTCAGCTAAAGATGATTCTCATAAAATGCTGTGATATCTCCAATGAAGTTCGTCCCATGGAGGTGGCAGAACCGTGGGTGGATTGTTTGCTGGAAGAATATTTTATGCAGGTAAGAGATACCGAGCCGTCAAATTATGAGCACACCTTCCAGCTCCCTGAGCAGGGGCTGCATTGAAAAGAGCAGACCAGGGGCTAGAGAGATGTCTCAGTGGTTAAGAACACTAGCTGGTCCTCCAGAAGTCCTGAGTTCCATTCCCAATAACCACCTGGTGGCTCACAGCCATCTGTAATGAGATCTGGTGCCCTTCTCTGGCCTGCAGACATACATGCAGACAGAACACTGAACACATAATAAATAAATAAATAAATCTAAAATAAAAGGAAGGAAGGAAGAAAGAAAGGAAACAAGGAAGGAAGGAAGGAAGGAAGGAAGGAAGGAAGGAAGGAAGGAAGGAAAGGAGGAAAGGAGGAGCAGACCAGAGTGACTGACATATCCATCCCCCACCCCAGCAGCCTCCACAACTGTCTGTGTAGACATATAGCAGAAACGACCTAGGCTGTATTATAGTTGTGGGACAGTGACCACCAGAAAAAAAGTGTGATGAAACTGCCACCTATTGCCGCTCACAGAGTCACTTTTAGAAGCAGACTCAAGAAAAGTGGTCATGAGCCAAGAAGCAAGACCCTAGGGGAGGGCCAGCCCTGTGGAGCGGGAAGGGCAAGCAAGACGGTTCATAGGGTAGCTACAGGGAGTTGCAGGCATGAAATAATGCAGACAAGCAGCTGTGGAGCTGAGCCTTGTAAACTGTCCTGCCATGCCCTTGAGACACTCATCCTGTCTCTAAACTTAGTCCCTATGACTCCAACCTGCTCACCTGGCCTTGGCTCATATGTAGCCCATTCACTGCAGGCTTCTCTGTGTGCTCACCATTGTACTGCTTTTGTGCGAGCATGGGAATCACAGCTGGGCAGAATGCCCTGTTCTTCCTCTAAGAACAGGGCTGCTCTCTGTACCCGAGTCCATTGGGCCTTTGTGCCTTTAATGTCACTGTGTTCCCTGCAGAGTGACCGTGAGAAATCAGAAGGTCTTCCTGTGGCCCCATTCATGGACAGAGACAAAGTGACCAAAGCAACAGCCCAAATTGGGTTCATCAAGTTTGTCCTGATTCCAATGTTTGAAACGGTGACCAAGGTGAGTGATCGTGCCGGTGGTACCCCAGCAATAAACATACATGTGCACATGCACACACATGGACCCTCTACAGCTTCATCATCTGTTGTCATGGTGATGGTTGCCTGGCAGCTATTCCTTCTGCTATGTCCAGTGCCACCCCCACCGGTGCTCTTCAAAGAGCTCCATGTGTGACTGTCAGGCCCTCTGTGCCCACTTTGCCCCCTCCTATTTCTGCTAGCCTTAAGACCCAGCCAGCTGTTGGCTCTCCTGTCCTTCCAGGCCCCACCTTAAAGGACCTCTTGGAATTGGTGCCCTTGGGCTGGGAAACCCTCACAACCAAGTCCTAGTCTTGTCCCACCCCTGCACCTCCACCTCCCAAGCCCCAGAGCTGCCTACGAGTCCTGCCTGTGGCCACCACTTCCAGCCCCCTGGATACCAAACACACCCACTTACCTCTTGCCAGCCAATGTGTTCCACCCCACCTCCTGGCCATCATTCTCTGGGTGTCTCAGAGCAACCCACATCTGTAATGATAACTCTTCCCGCCAGCTGCCTGAGTTCCGCCGCCACGTTAGGGCCCCCAAATAACACAGAGAGATTAATATTAGTTACAGGTGCTGCTGGCCAATGATTAGGATTTCTTTTTTTAAGATATATATAGTGTTCTGCCTGCATGTATCCCTGCAGGCCAGAAGAGGGCACTAGATATCATCATAGATAGTTATGAGCCATCATGTGGTTGCTGGGAATTGAACTCAGGGCCTCTGGAAGAGCAGCCAGTGCTCTTAACCTCTGAGCCATCTCTCCAGCCTGACTAGGATTTCTTATATGCTAGCTCAGCCTTAACTATCAACCATAACTACTAATCTATATTTTTTAAGGACTTATCTTACTGACGACGCTGGCCTTATGCGTCCTCTCTTCCTGGCGATCACATGGCAACTCCCATCTTTACTACATTTCCCAGAATCATCCTTTTCTCCTAGTCCCACCTAACTTGCTTTCCTATTGGCCGACGGTGCCTTATTTATCAACCAATAAGACAAACATATACACAGAAGGACTTCCCCCATCACACATCCTTTTCGTTCCTGTGACCTCCAGCAGGAATTTTGTCAGATTTGTCCCCTGCATAAGATCTTCTGAGGCCAGACCTACCCTTGTCTTACTGGAAGGAGTGGGGTTGGGAGAAGTTAGTAGGTTGTCTGGAGTCCTCTGAGAAATGACAGGAGTGGGAATCT